CTGTCACAGAAGCTGAAGCTGAGGTATCCAGGAAAATGCAAGTTGTTCCCTTCCCTAAACACATAAAGCAGAATAAAAATGAAGAACAGATCTGGCAGCACAGTTTGCATTTCCCATTATTATTTGCACTCTTTGGACGCTGTGGATTGCAAGGGAAAATAAGCTGCTCTGAAACCTCTTTTCATTGCTCCTGAACAGTCTAGTTGGTCCATGTATCCAAACCTCTCCTTACTCAGCCAGACACTCCTCCTATTTCCACCTCCTTGCTTTGTTTATCCATGATAGCACGACTGAGTGCATTTCTGCCTTACCCTGCAAGGAGGTGTTACGATTTATGCTTTGTTTTCTGAAATAGCCTCCTACAACAGACTCCTTCCTCTTCAAAACACAATCCCCTCTGTGCTTCTATTTTTTCCCAGGCACCAGCTGAGGTACCACTCACACTGTCATTGCTCTAACTCCTGAAATCTGATCCCAGCACAAGAAAGATGTGGACTTCTTGGAGTGAGTCCAGAGGAGGCCCTGGAGATGCTCCAAGGGCTGGAGCCCCTCTGCTCTGGAGCCAGGCTGGGAGAGCTGGGGGGGTTCCCCTGGAGAAGAGACCTTAGAGTCCCCTCCAGTGCCCAAAGGGGCTCCAGGAGAGCTGGAGAGGGACTGGGGACAAGGCATGGAGGGACAGGACACAGGGAATGGCTTCCCAGTGCCAGAGGGCAGGGAGAGATGGGATATTGGGAAGGAATTGTTCCCTGTGAGGGTGGGCAGGCCCTGGCACAGGGTGCCCAGAGAAGCTGTGGTTGCCCCTGGATCCCTGGGAGTGTCCCAGGCCAGGCTGGACGGGGCTTGGAGCAGCCTGAGCTGGTGGAAGGTGTCCCTGCCCAGGGCAGGGGTGGAATAAGATCAGCTTTAAGGCCCCTTATAACCGAAGCAGTGTGGGATTCTGTAAGTGAGGCAGCCGGCTGGAGTTACTCAGGACTCACTGAGAGCTGTCTGCCAGCCACAGCCTGGATATAACAACCTGATATAGAGGCCATGGAGTGAGAGTAAGGCTTCAGTCTTCAAACCTCTTCAGTCCTCGTCCTTTTTACTAAAGCATTCGGGAGTAGAAATCCTTGTCTATCTGGAACAGAATGGAAAAAACATTTCCACCCAACCAACCCCCAAAAAAAGTTTAGCCCATGCCAACCTAAGTGTGAACTGTCAACTTTATAGATGAAAATAACAAAATGTCATCCTTCAGACCAATGATTCCTTACCACTGAACTTTACATGGAATTAAATAAAGAATCATTGTGTTCTGCAGTATACCCATAGCAACTTCAGGGTGTAACTAGTGCTAACCTGTGATTTTGCTGGTTCAAAAGTCAAAACAACAGAAATCTTCATAATACAGTACAAGAATTTCCAAAACAGGTAAAATGATGTGAAAAAAGTATCCCATTACTGTAGAAAAAAAATTACTTACTTGCCAGGTAGTGCTGGAATAAAGGAGAGTAAACAGAGGACTGGATACACAGTTCTCCATTAGTTCTGCTATTCCCAAACACGTGGATAGTATTTACATTACAGATTAACTATACTTGGAGTGAAAACATTCTGAAAATTTTGTCACTAGGTAAATATCTTTAAGCTGAATGTTCAAGTTAAATTTCAAACCCTTTTGTCCAGTTCATTACGTCCAACCCGGCAATGTTTTCCTGTTAAACATCTTTCTGAATTGGTTTTGCTCTGCCTCATTATTCCTAAACAATCCCTAGAGGAAGTTCACAGGATAAGGGCTTATCATGTCTTTCCAAATACAAATGCCTCTCTTAAACTGTGCTGTCATAACAGTCACGAGGTCTCCCAGCTCAGTTAGTGCATGTGCTCAGAAACAAGAAAAATATTGTACTTATAAGCTTTGGAACTTATAAACATAAGCACAAAGAGTCAGAGCTGATCACGGGCCACCTAAATTCCATTCCCCCAGAGCCTGCCTAGGAAAGGCCTGCTCTGCCACAGGTCAGTGCAGTGGCCTATGTGGGAAGCAAATACAGAGATATTTCTTTTCCCCTTTTATTTGCCTGCCCTTCATCTTCAGATGACGCCTCTTGACCTTCTTTGTAAGAGGCCACTTTATACTCTTGTGTATTAAATACTTTCAGGTTTACTCAGAGTTTGGTGTTTTGTAACAAAACCTCCTCAAAGCATCCAAGGAATGGAGAGAGAATGTTGTAGTAACAAGGCAGGCTGCTTCTTCTCTGACAGAAAGACCCAGCAAGTTTATGTTGCTTCATCAACATAAGACAAACCAAAATTTTGTTCTACTCAACCAAAACTTTTGTAACCTACATTCATGCTTTTTATTTGTCCTGGAATCTGACCCCTTGGGCCTGTCACAGATCTGTTTTTTCAACACCTAATGCCATTAATAATTAGGTATCTCAGTTCTCTGACTGTGAGAACTAAATTAAATGTACCACAGAACATCCTGCTTGCCTCAGAAATCTTTTCATCTCTGTCTTAGTTATCTCCTCATCGCTGTCATTATAAAAATGGATATGGATTTCAAAATGGGTCATGCAGAAAAAACCTTCCAGAAATGATGCCCCAAAACATAATCAGAACCCTTAAATCTCTATATTTCAATGGGTTCAGTGAAGCTATAGTGACTTAAGTAATTATTTTTATGGCAGTCAGTGATCAGAAAATACTTCTGCATATTCAGAGATGCTTCATCACTCGTTCTTTACACACTGTAATAGCTTATTTTTCAATTTATACTTATGAGCTCGGTCTCAGGAGGTTAGTGGTATTTTCATATATCCATATAAGCTCTAAGTTTCTTAAATGTAGTGTCATGAATAATTGTCATCCCCCAAGAGGGACGTAAAGCCTACCAAGTTCTTTTAAAAAAAACTGAATAACCCTTATCTCACACCAGGGATTTCTTGGGTTTAAGTGTCTCCAATTAATTACTGCTGCCTTGTAGCCTCATAAACTATCCAGTATTTCCTGGAGAGATGTAGAGGCAGAATTCTTCCAGACAAGCACCTCCAGAAAACAACCCTTGCTCAGTACCGATAATGCTTCCCACTGACTGTGTTTCTTACATTTTCAACAGCTACAGCCTCAAAAGTATTTGTAACTTTTTTATCTTCCCTTTTTTTCCCCCCTTTCCCATGGTGTCATATGAGACATATTGGTGTCATATTTTGAAATGTCCTGGATATCATTTGGAGCCAGGCTGTTTTCATGTGAAATCATTTTGAAGGATTCTAAATAAAAAGCTCTTACTCCATCTACTAAATCTGGTTTATGTTACTTCACCTTTCAGAGTGCCCAAACACATGACATCTCTTGAAAATCAACAGTGTATATACTATGAGATGATACCTAATCTGGTTTATCCTATGAGAGTCTGATCAGTTCCCACAGAAATAAATTAAAAGCACTGTGTTGACCTAATGAAAATTAGATTTGACCCTAAAACGGTAGGACTCTGCTTACATGAACAGAGAGAAAATGGTATTTCTGTCAGTGAGAATGAAAATTCAAGAATCTCATATTATAGAAGAGAGAGATAAGGACATAATTCCAGCAAAGTCAGCAGAGATAAACTGATAAAACCGCTTTCAGAATGAATTCTGACAAATGAAGCAAAGCCAGAGTAGCTGTTACAGCCTCAGGTTAAAATCGAGACACAAATAAAGATGTTTTGCATGATAGAGACCGTTTATGAACACAAGGACATATATTCAGCTCAGCACTTTCATCTTTTCCCTCTTATACTTGCATTTATGATCTCACCTGGGTTTCCCACCTTGGATTTCTTCACAGCCATACACATGCTGTGCTCTGTGCTTAGGGATTTTGGGAGCTGCTGTGGATTCTGCTTGGACAGTGCATGCATCAGTGCCCGTGGCACTGCAGCGCTGCCATCGCCTGGATTTTAAACTCAGATGCTAAGGCTTTGGAAACAGGATTTCATCTAGGGAGTAAGTTCCCTTGTCCACCTCAGCAGAGGTCCAGAGGTCTTCCTGTGCTCTGCACACAGTCTTCCTGAAGTTCCTGACGTGCTTTTCTCTCCCGGCTCTTCCAGAGGGAATAAAGCAGCTGAAGGAGTGGAATTATCTGTGCTGTGATGACTGGGTGTGACTGGGCACCTCAGAGTTCCTGTGACAGCTCTGAAACCCTTCCTGGAGGTTTCCCCACAGCACACACCAGGCTGAAGTTGCTGCCACCTGGGCAGTGTGAAATGAAGGGGACCCCTTTGTCCGCTCCTCACCTAAAACTCTGCCCCACTAATCTCTAGGAGGACCATTACTGTGCAGCTGCATCAACCCTGGAACAAAGCTGGCCCTCCCAATCGGAGCAATCGTCGCTGTGAGATGATGAGGCAGCAACTATTAAACCTTCAAATTCTTTTATACTTAGAAAAGACAGAGAAAACCTATCCAGAAACTGGGCTTTTGCAGAGTCATAGAGTCATAGAATCATCACGTGGTTTGGGTTGAAGGGACCTTAAAAACCACCCAGTGCCACCCCGTGCCCTGGACAGGGACACCTTCCACCAGCCCAGGCTGCTCCAAGCCCCGTCCAACCTGGCCTGGGACACTTCTAGGGATCCAGGGGCAGCCACAGCTTCTCTGGGCAACCTATGATCATGCTTAAAGACTACTTGCCTCCACTAAAGAAAATTCGAGTGGCTGAGCCTACAGGCAGATTAAATGTTTTCTCTAGCTCACTGATATGGTTTTGCAAGTGAAAAAGTGTATTGAGTGTGAAGCCCAGCTGATTTTTGGTGGAACAGTTCCCATAACTGTAAAACTCAAAGACAGAAAAAACCCCCAATGTTCATTTCAACACTGAGGTTCTTCATTAAAAACATAAAATACATTAAGCATGGAACATAAATATTACTTTTAGAAGAAAGGAAAAATGAGGTTCCATTACTAAAGACAATGAATAAGGAAACATAACTGAGATGGATTTGATTAATAGATAAGGAATGACAAAATAACCCAAGTAATGTTTACTTTCCCAGTATTAAGTAACCTTAATTACATTTTACTTCTCTAATAGATGTTTGCCACAGGGCATTTATGCACCATGTTGAAGAGTAAATTTATGTATTTCTTTATGTAAGTCTCAGTATCAGCAGCCTATTTTCAAAAGCAACATTAAGGTCATGTAATGTTCTGTATTTAGGGTCTGTGCCACAGCCCACTGGAACTGAATCCCACCGAACCCCCAGCAGCAAACTGAGCCTCGTTAATGGGAGATGTTCCATACTGGGGAGTGTAATTGCTCTCTGCTCTGTCTGCCATGCACAGAAATAGTGCATTTGCCACTTTTCTGTAGGTGAGAAAGTGAGTACCAAAATTATGACTCAGGGTCTCTACCAGGTTTTACAGCTCTACATATTTTTATATATACACTTACATATGCATTTTACCAGGGCATGTAGTGATAGGAGGAGGGATAATGAGTTTAAACTGCAAGAGGGTAAATTGAGATCAGCTATTGGAACTCAGAGCAATGGGCCTTTGCATCAGGTTTTGCTGAGACTGGGCTGACAGGGTCTGGGCAGCTGCAAAACTTTCCCGGTCCCTGCTGCTCTCCACAACCTTCCAGCCATATCAGAGACTCAGGGAATGCTTTGGGTTGAAGGGACCTTAAAACTCACCCAGTGCCACCCCCTGCCCTGGGCAGGGACACCTTCCACCAGCCCAGGTTGCTCCAAACCCCGTCCAACCCGGCCTGGGACACTCCCAGGCATCCAGGGGCAGCCACAGCTTCTTTGGGCACCCTGTGCCAGGGCCTGCCCACCCTCACAGAGGGACAAGGGAAGAGTCAACAGGAAGCATCTGAAACCGTGGTCCCGTATTTGTAAATTCCCCATGTATTTTGCTCCATGAAAATGAGTTGTGGAGGGAAAGAGATAACAGATGTTTATGAAAGTGGCAGTGTTTGTTATCACTGTGAAATAAGAGCAAATCTCAAGAAAAGTAAAATTATCTAAATTATGAGAGAGGTGGTTGAACTCCACAGTGGTGACATTTCAAACTATAAATATTGGAATGAAGTAAATAAGTGAATAATCCCTTTCCACAAAGCACTGCTCATAACAGCTGACATTTCCAGGCCCTATTTCAGTGCCTTGCTGTATGCTAAATACTATTGCTACATTAAAATATAAATTTCAACTTTGAAATGTTACAGAAATAACTCCTCATTACCTTGAGGAACGATGTCACTGTCAAACAAAACTAACTCACCAGTATAAACCAGCTTGTCTTCTGATATGGATGAACTGCAAAGAAATAAGAAGACATCTGTGCAGAGATAAAGAGAACTGGAGTAGGGTATTATAGTGCCCTTCTGGTGGGATCTGCATGGATTATTATTATTAATTATATTTTGTCTTTGTTGTATTGAACCCATTGACTGCTGTGCATCTGGTTTTGGGCAGGGAACATCTGAGTTTGATTAGTAAGAAGTACTTTTAATATTTACTCTGCTACAACCCAAAGCAGTTTTGCATTTCAAAGGGATTCATTGTATTTATTCCCTCCTTAAACAACCTATTTTTCAGCTGAAGACAGGTTTTGTATAGTGAAGTGTAAATACCTAAAAGCAGTATCTTCTTCTGTTGAGGATGTTACCTGCTGATTAAAACAGGGATCCAGCTCAACTGGGCAAGTTGCTTCCCATCTCTCTGAGACATCAGCACTCACAAGATGAGACTGATACCTGCCTCCTCTGTGCTAAGATGGGGCAAGCTTTATTAGCTCCTTATGAAGTTTAAATGAAGGATATTGATCCTTTGATGTGAGGAAGATCTTGTTCTTCCTCCCAGCCTAAAGTTCAGGTGTCACAGTCTGAACTGGGGTAGATGGGCTTTGGCCCATTGATCCCCCGAGTCATGAAGGCAAAATAAGCAGCATATAGGTGAGCATTTAAACCCCCAAATCTCCACTGGAAAAGGTAAACTGAGCCAGGGTAAGCAGCTCCCATGAAGTTTAGCTTTCAGGCTGGATAATGCACCTCACATGCCGGACAGACCGGCGCAGTCTGGGCTTGGCTGCCACAGAGGACTCTCCTGGGTCTGTCACCAGCCTGAAGGGGATGGTCCTGCTACTGGACACTTTTAGGGCTTAACTGAGTGTTCTATTTTTATATTTATTCTCAGGAAGTATTTGCATCAGAGTTTACGAGCACAGGGAGTGACTGGAGTGGCACTCAGTGCTCTGGGCTAGGTGACAAGGTGGGGATCAGGAACAGAGTGGATGGACTCCATGGTCTTGGAGGCCTTGAACAACCTTACTGACTCTGTGATTCTACTTTGTTTTCCATGAAGGAGGTGTGTTTGTTTATTCTCACACTGCTTTTGGTCTTACACCCCTTCTCCAGCTCAACAGTTACATCTGAGTACATTCCTGACCCCAAGCTCAAGCAGAACATTTAATTGCTAAGAGACTTCATGTACACAGAGCTATTAATTGCAATTAGAGCACAACACACAAGAAGGCTCCATCCACTCACGTGGACTGGGGTTGTAAACTTATTTCCCATCACATGAGCTCCCTGTGTATTCTATGGTGGTCATGAAAGACACCAGTTATAATCTACAAGCCCCATTAAATTTTCCTCAGTGTTCCGCTCTGGTGGTGATTTCCTCAATGCCCTGTATGTGATGTTCTCTTTCACCCAGGAGTAACTTCCCTTGATAAACACTGATGGAAATGCAGCCAAAGTTAATTAATACCATTTCCCTTTTCCGTTCTGAGGGTAGTTACTCACAGTTTTGCTCTGTTTGCAACCTGCCAAGCATCAGTTGTCTCAGAGAAGGACTTGCTCTGCCTGAGTGACTCCAACCTCTCCCCACAGGCACTGGTGACAGTCCCCTCCAGTCACCCACAAGTCTCTTGCCAGCCATTTTCAGGCTCAAGGGTAGCATCAATCTCGTGATGGAAAACCTTATGAAAATGAAAGCAATCCAGAAACCTTCCTTCCCTTTCACACAACCCTGTGATTTCCCACCAGAGATGCTTCCCAGAAAACAGATACTTCTGTTTTAACCAGAATTATTTTTAAAAAGGTACTTTTTAGAGGTTTAGTTTGTCTTTTTAGAGCAGTGGTATCAGGAGCATCATCACGAAGTCTGTCAGTGTTCCATGCCTCCTAAACAGAGTTGATAGCACTGCTCTGTCTCTAATCAAAACCCACCCAATACTTAGTGACAAAACCAGCTTAATCTGCTTAAAAATAACACCACCAATTCATCAAGCTTTTTACAGCACCTGATATAGGAAGATAAACAGAAAATTTATTTTTATATTGCTTAACTTTGTTTATGATGGCATTATGCAGGCATGCCTCTGGTTTACATATAATTTCCTTGCTCAAAGCCCTCCAAAGATTAGTGAGTGTGTCAACATGGGTTTGTACAAACGCAGCCCTCAGGGCCAAAATGTGGAAATTCTTCGGTAAAAAAGCCTTAAACATATGAGTGTGTCATTTGTTCTTAGTGTAAGTTTAAAAGTATTATCATTACATTAAGGACTTCAAATGTTTTCTGTTCCCTTCTGCTTTACAGGAAAATTCTCGCTGTGCTCTTAAAGATTCAGCAATTTTCAAAAGACAACTTCCCTTTTATTTTTTATTACTGGATTTGTATAGCAATTTAATCCATTCCATATTCTTACCTGTGAGGGTGGGCAAGCCCTGGCACAGGTTGGGCAGAGAAGCTGTGGCTGCCCCTGGATCCCTGGGAGTGTCCCAGGCCAGGTTGGACGGGGCTTGGAGCAACCTGGGCTGGTGGGAGGTGTCCCTGCCCAGGGCAGGGGGTGGGACTGGATGAGTCCCTTCCAACCCAAACCATTCGGGGATTCTATTGACTGGATTTCCAAAGCAATGCTACAATTTTAGCATCCAAAGTTGATCTCTCTATTGTTAAATCCCTAACACCAGGTGCTTGGAAGTATTTAAGCCTCTGGGAAAAGCAAAAGGTTCAGGTGGTTTTGAAAATACAAGCAGGGCTCTGTACTTTTCCCATGGTGGAAAAGGCAAGAAGGTCAGTCTCTCTGCCCTAAAATTTCTAGATGGGGAGATGAAAACAGTGGGGTTGCCTGTCTTGTTCCTCCTCTGGGGAGAATTTATGCTACTTTACATGGATATTGTGATTATGGGTATTGCACTCAAAAAATATAGAGAGATGCCTACAGAGAGATCAGTCCCCAGGGATCAACCCTACAGCCAGGCTGGGAAGTGAGTTAGATGCCTAATGGGATTTTCAAAAGCACCTTAATAGGTTAAGCATCCAGTTACCCTGAGATTTAGGAACCTCATTTTGTTTGCATTAGATTTTCCCTTGACAATGCAGTGTCTGGGGGCCAACTGCATTTCTAAGGATACAAAGACCTCTGGAAATTGGGCTTTTAGCAATTTTTCAGGCAGCATGTGGTGTCAGTGAGCAAATCCAAGAGCTCTGTAGGCTGCTGGCAGGGGCTCTCTTTTTGGAGCTCATCCTTGGGCATTAATGACATTTCAGTGCATGAGAATGTCTGGCTGACATGGCCAAAAATACCTGCAAAATAAAGATATCCAAAGTGACTCCTTGGCCTCCTCATTCCACAATAAGTTTTATATAGAACACATATTAGAAATAACACATATTTGTAATTATTACTTGTGGAGGGAAAAAAAGGAAAACTTAAAATCCACTTTAAATTTTGCCTTTAAAAGACTGAATTCTCTTTATCTCATCTGGAGGTCGTATTTATTTCCTATAGTGGCTTAAAACTTCCTGTGCATCATATTTATTACTCTTTTAAACCCCTCCTTTAAAGCTCTGTGTCCTACACTCCCTCTTGTTTTTCATGGAAATTTTTACCATGAATTGAAAGGAGCAGACAGGGTTGGGGTAAAGGATATTTTATTTAACTTGGCCTCTGCCTGGACCTACATATTTGTTTATGATTTACAAGGTTCCTGCTTTCATCCAGGCAGAAAATAGTTGCTAAGCAGCAGCTTTGCTTGATAAAAGGCAGAGCCAGGGCCTGATGCTGCCCTGACTTGTGCATGTGGTTACTCCCGGGGCTATCCCAAGGAAGGTAGCTTGGACATACCTCCCACCTAAGGACTGCCACCTGGCTCTGTGCAACTCACACAGCGTCTTGGTTTGGGCTGGGACAGAACTTTGACACATACAAACATATATATAAAAATTTAAATTGTATTTGTGTTCTTGTCTGTATTTCTGGGTGTGTCAGTACACACTGATGTAAAATCTAGTGCCTGTCCTCTTAAATGCGGTACTTTACCTACCCTGTGCTGGTGGTGTGAAGCCAGTTCACAGATTTTTGCCTTGGAAAAATCCATCATAGAAACCTTGCATCGGGTTTTTGAGTTTCCTGCAAAACCAAAAAGGTTTACATATACCTATATAATATACATACATACATAATAGACACGTAAATATATATACACATACATTATATATATACACACACATAATATACACAAGAACTGCCAAGTCACATCTCAGCCTTCCTTGCATCGTCATGCCTCTGCCTTTCTTTTCACTAAAAATAACTCATGTGTTTAAATTTATGCAAGTGTCTGAGATGAATGAAACTGTAAAAATGTTGGAGATGTCACTCATCAACCCTTCCCCCAGTTTTTGACCTTGGACACAGCAGCCAGGAGGATACATGCTGTCCTCTCAGCTCACAAAACAGATCAAAAGCCTTAAAGGTGATGAGTGCAAATATATAGATTTCATATATTTATCATGCAAATACAATATGATATGTGAATATTGTATAATTAGCAAATCTGAACTGCTGTAAAGCCACTGCTCCCACGTATTCCTAGAACTCCAAAGCATAAATTCATTAAGGTTGGAAAAGTCTTTTAAGGTCATCGACTCCAGCTGTTCCCTCAGCACTGCCGAACCCACCACTAACCCGTGTCCCCAGGTGCCACAGCCATGTTTTTGGAACACTTCCAGGGACAGTGACTGCACCACTGCCCTGGGCAGCCTGTGCCAATGCCTGGTCACCCTTTCCATAAAGAAATTTTTCCTGAACTGGTGTGCATTCACCTTCAGAGTGCTTTATGCAAGTTACCTGATTCCCAGTGCTGCTCCTCAGAGAGGACTGGAGTACCTGTGTGCTGGAGCCTGTCCTGGGGAGCCACTCAAAGCTCTGCAGTGCCTACTTTAAACCTGCCAGAGGGACTTGGGTTGAGGAGAGGTGTCCTAAAGTCCTCACTTTGTGAGCCTGACAGCAAATAGGCCAGACTTCACCCCATAAACTAAGCCATGAATTCCCCAGGCATGGCACAGATTGCCAGGGCACTTGGGGCAGCTCCCGTGGTTTCTCCAAAGCTCGGCATCTTTCCGTGGATAATGAAGACGTCTGGCTCGGCCCAGCAGGCACCTGGGAGATGCTGGGAGCACAAACTGCTCCAGCTTGGGATCATGGCAGGGACCTAGGACAGGAATGACATGATGTTACTCCAGAAGGGCACAAAGGGTTCCCTTTGGAGGCACATCCAGGTCAGGTTAGACCCCTGGCACAAAGCTGGAGCAAAACAAAACAAGGTTCAAAAACAAGTGCGCGAAGATCAGGTTGTTACAGCTCTGAAACACCACAGGAAGAGGCCAAGGAAAAGCTGCTCTTAATCATCAGTGGTTGTTTTGCTAATCCAGATGCGATTACACAAGATACTTCAATGAGAATTTCACTCTCACCCTCTACCTGTATTTATTATTTTTTCCAGCAGACCCACTTTCATAGTCTTTAATGTTTAATTAACTATAAATGAACACATTCCCAAAAAAGTGCCAGGGTAGCCTGACATTCTCAATTTTGCCCACCGCTGCTAACATTAATTTGGTTCACTGTATTTTAAATAAGACAATTCCAGTACCTCTAACCTGAATTTTAGATGTAATCAGATATATACGTTCCGTATTCTATCACATCATGTCAATATCCGGGTTTAACACAACTTCTCAGCACAAACTTAATGTTTGGCCCAAATCTCCAGTTCTTGGGAAAACTTACTGCCATTTCTCTTTTAGTGTCGAAAAGCAGAATCGATTTAAAGTGTATTTTTAAATAGCCAGTGGGAAGTTAAAAAGAGAAGTCACATGCATGACTCATGGTCCTGGAAACAGCTGTGCTGCTTTTGGGGACAAAGGGCTGGTTTAGGCCTTATGTAACTCCAGGGAAATCAATATGCAGCAAATGTACTGACCCAGAAAGGAATCTGAGCCCAAATTTAAAAAAAGTACACAAACTGTCTCATCTCATACCTTTAACTGGGGGTTCTTTGTGCCCCAGGTATCTCACTCGCTGTGATAAGGGATGTGCTGGCAGTAGATCGGGTCACTTGTAGATCAGAACAGGTTGAGAGTTCATCACTGCTGCACTGTGAGTGTTTGACAGCATGAGGAGTATGCTGGGCCATTAAAAAATCCCCAGATTCAGGCTGCACCCACCCTAACTGTGGGCAGCTTCTGAAGAGATAAAAAGGGCTACATTCCAGCACCATCCCCCTGGAATTCAGCCTCCAGAGACCTCTGCAAGTCCAAACCTGCTTATTTCCACGCCTCCAAGGTACTCAGGAAACCAGCAATGCTGGCTGGCTCTTTCAGGCCCAAGTTCTGTTGGATACCAAAAATGTTGGACCACGAAGGAGTCAGTACATATTTGAAGAGGTTGTTTTTGTGCCTGGCTGTAGCTGATTTCCCAATACCCCCGAGAGTTTTATCTGCTGTTTATGGACACTGTATTCTGCTCACAGATTATTGGGTACTGTAGTACTCAAAGCTAAAGCAAATCCAAGTATCTGAGATACATATTTAGCAACTCCAGGCCTATTTATAGGCCCTCAGGCCAATGGTCCATCTCCCAGACACCTGGAACAGAAAATGCTGTTTCAGGAGAGCCCATGAGCCACTTCCCGAGGTCCCTCCTGAGGCAGGGATATGAGAGGATACAGCTCTGACTATTCTCTGGAGTACCTGGCATTCGTGTACCTGGCATCCATGAATTTGTGCAATCCCATTTCAAATCAGCCTCCATCACCTCCTCGGGACACAAATTCTACAAGTTCATTACATGTCATTCAAAGAACTGCTTTCTTCAATTTAAGTTTCAAGTCTACCTCTTACCTGTTTCAACCTATGTTCCCAATTACTGAGGGATTTAAGGACTAAGTTTGTCATGCACCCATCACCTTCATCCAAGGCTAGGCTGGATGGGGTTTGCAGCAACCTGGGATAGGGGAAGGTGTCCCTGCGCATGGCGGGGGAGGGGATGCACATATAACGCCTGTCCTATTTCTGTTTTCATAGAAAGAGATCAGGATCATCCAAAAAAAATGCTCACCTTTCTTTGTTATAAATGGAATTCCAAGTGACTGTAGAATAGTCAACCCAAGTAATGCAACGGGCTGTGCAATAAGCTGTTGTAGATCATCTCTGCTTGGCTTGTACAGCAGCAAGAAAGGGATCCCTTTTTGTGACAGCTGTTGTCATCCCTTCCCCTTCTCCTGAAGGGAATGCTAGTCCAGCTGCAGCTTGTGCCTCTTCCCCATTAGCTCATCTTCTGTATTTCAGCCTTTTCAATCACGTGTCCACCACCAAATCCCAGTGCCCTGAGAGTGCAGCACAACACCCAGCCAAAGGCACACTGCAGTGCCATCCCTGTCCCTGGAATCTGCAGGCATCTCATCCTCAGCCAGTGCCCGGTCCCTCGGCACAAAGAAGAGGCAGCAGGTGAATGATCCGAGGTTATTCTGCAGAACTGACGTGCTTCAACCACCCAGACTTAGGATGTATGTTTCCCATCTCCTGTTCCTCTGGATGCAGCAGCAGCTGCAGGTACAGTGCAGGTGGTGTGACACAGGAGAGCCAGTCTCTCAGCATCTGCCAGGGGAGGAATGACATCCAGCTGCTCCCTGGGCTCCGCTCAGAGGGACGGAGGGAGCAGCCTGGAAGCAGGCAGAGAGAGTTCCCAAGGAACCAGTGTTGAGAGGTGTGGTGGGCAAGGATGGGTTTTCAAGCAAAGGAACCAGAGGTGGGCCTGGGAATGTGAATGCAGACTGGAAAAATGGCTGTGGATAATAAGGAGCCGAGCAAGTCCTAAGGTAAAGAGGAGTCAGGACTGGCCAAGTCAAGTTTGTCAAGAGATTTAGTTTGTGGATAAAGATGGACTGAGTGGAGAAGGCTAGGGGAAGAGTGGGGGAGGGTTACTGCTGACAGCAATGATATCACAAGGTGTCAAATGATATCTCCTTCACTCTGCCTGTTTGGTTGGGTTGGGTTTGGAGTTTTTAATTCTGAAATTGAGAAGTTCTGGAAAGCTTGAGATTGTTTCCTTGTTCTATCTCCTCCACCAGACTTTTCACTCTGACCATGCCATTAGCCACTCTTTCCCCAAATATGCAGTCTGCAGTCCCAACATTTAATTTTTCAAGGAGGTAGCTAGGAAGGATGGGAAGATACTACAGCAGTACCTGCAGCCAGCCAGTTATTTTGGCCATCAGCCTTCACTGATGACTTAAAAAACCTCAAGTGTTTTATCTTATCCAAATGATAATACATCTTTCTGCATATTTCCTCCCAAAAATCATCCTGGGTTATCCATATTCATAAGGTGATCCTGTTCTAAATAGTTATATAAAAAAGACACGTATGTGCATGAGTCATATTGCTCTTTGCATCACACCAGAACGATGGCTTTAGGGTGACAGTGTTGATACAAAACCTGAGTGTTCCAAATTTAACTGAGTTTTGCTCCATTCTTCCTTTGTGACTCGAACCAATGACTTGGCCTTTTTGAGCTGCAGCTTCTTAAGCTGCAAAATGAGGTCTGTAAATCTCTGTGAGCTGCTGTGAGACTGCAGTCATTCATTTTTGTCATGGGATCAGAGATTAAGGTGGGGAAAACTTCAAGAAAAGTAAGTATAGCAGAATTCCAAATAAATTCACTCATAACAAGGGAGTGACTACTCCAAAACCAAGAGGGATCCAGCTTTCACTTACAGATTTCAAACTGGACTTTATAAGTGGTAATGCCACTTCCCCTTTCCCATCAAACACATCTTGTTCATTTAGAAGTGAAAGGAAAAGATAAGGCACCCCATAAAATGCCACAAGGTAGAGCCACTGGGGATTGTTCTTCCTAATGAGGAGGCAGTAATTTACCACCTTGGGGTTTGCCAAGTGTCATAAAAGCAGGCAATGAAAATTACTGAAGAAAGGACACTTAGAAGACAGACCATGAATGAACAAGAGGCAAAAATTAAGAGATGAAGATAGATTATCAGTTCTGGGGAAAAGCAAGACAACATTCTCAGTTTCTTTCCAAACTTCAGGCCTCAGGACTGATATAAAATAAACATCTGCTTTGTTTGCTCCAGTACCTCCTAGAATTCACAAAAGCTGAATACACACTCTGGTTTTTGGAGTGACCATGTGATTTTTTTGAGTCAGAACACAGCTTGTAGAAAATCACTAATGCCTTTTCCTCTTGTCCCTAAATACCTATGATTCCTAATGCTGGAGACTTGAGTGGTAATTAAGGATGTAAAACTGTAAGTAAACCCTGCTGCAATTACCTGAGTAATTTGGTTCAAATCAACTCACAGGGCTGATGGAAATGTTACTACAGTCAATTATTTCCCACAGTTACACACGGGCCCAGTTCTCGTTCCCACTGAGTTCAAAGGTAAACAGGCTTTCAACTGACAGCAGCAGGAACTTGCTGTTGGTGGCAGGGATGGCTGCAGAGCTTTGGAGCTGGAACAAAACACACACAGCAATTATCTTGGCACCACAGACAGCATGTTACAAACTCTTCATCTCACATATGACAATAAGTGAGCCCTTAACACCAGGGTCAAAAGACAAAAATACCAAATTTCACCTTAATAAAAATGAAGTTTGTTGTTTAACTGCCTCTGCTGACTGTGCTGGTAGATTAACACCCAGCCTGTCAGGATGGCGCTGTGGCATACACATGCATATATATATTCAAAGAACTCAGCTGGGCATTCCACCCAGCACTATTAATGCTCCCAGGTAACACGAGGCAGCCTGGAGCACTTATCACCCCCGGTGCTAAAAGGATGGGGCCAAAGAGTGACACGCATGACCTTCTCATGGAATCTGCAGTGCTCAGGAGAGCAGCTGCACGTGGCACTGAGTGGATGGTACATACTCTTGGTGCATCTCGTTCAGCCCCACAGGCAGAGTGCTGGAATTTTAGATCTCTCCAGCCTTTCTGTCCCCTCTCAGACTCTGGAGGGGAGACACTGGTGATGCAGGAGAAGTATTTCTTGCTCCAGATGCGCTCCTTGCACTTTTCCCTGTGCTGCTCTGGCTTACCATAACATGACCCTGATGAAATCAAAGAGAATCCACGGCTCAGAATGTTATTTTTTCTGACACTGTCAGTACAGAGTGAGGACACAGTTACACTAAATTTCTGTGTTCTTTGGAGTAAATGGTGGGGTTTAAGATTAATTAATTCCTCTTGATCAAGAAACAGTGTAGCTCACCTTTGGCTTGTTCCTGTGCACATGGGAAAAACAACCCCGAGTTGGGGTTCTCATGAACCTCCTGCCTCCCTGCCAGCAGGGATGTACAGTAGGAATAGCTTTCCTTTCACGGGACAGAAAGGTTTGCCTATATTTTTCTTCTCCTCTTCCCCCCCCCCAATTAAGTTAGTCATAGCATTATTGTGGCTGAAACATATAAGCAGAGCTAAAGTAACTTCAGAAATCTACTCTTCTGCTTGTGCAGAGGTTACAAATGTACAGTCCAGCTCCTACATCAGTTTTGTTCTCATGGCTTTATGTTAGCATTAATAAAAAAATAAAATTGAGGGACACTGGGCTCTTCTGTAAAAGCTGAAAAAAGAGCTTTGCTTGTAAAAGAGATTTCACAGTGTTACTTTCCTTAATATTTGAAGAAACACTCATAATTGAAAATTTCTAACTCATTTTAATCACATTCTGATTTTCCATTAGTAATGATGAAGCTTCAGATGGAGAAAAATATAAAGAAGGAGAAGCAAATTGGGAGCTCCCAGGCTGCAGTACAGGCAGCAAACACATCTAGTAAGTGCAACCCCAAGGACAAACAGTACAAAGCTCTTACTTGCAGGCACAGTCAGAAGCTGGCAGAAAGCTGAAGGGTCAGGAAGGCAAACAATTCAAGTGCAAAGTGTTTTATTGTAACCCTCTGAACAGGATGTTTCAGCCACAGAAACTATTGTCCTTATGGAAGCACAAAAGACCTACAGGTGTATGGAAAGAATCAGCATTTTTACAATGTACAAGTAGAACATATTTGCAAGTACCACTGCCCAGCAAACATAACTTAATGCAACTGGAAAGCATTTAATTTTAACTGCTCCTAAATAAACAATAACCGCATTTCAAGTTCTACAGGAAAGCCATAAACTAGAAATTTGTTAACAGCTCATGCCTGATCAGAAGCTCTTGAACATGTACAGTCCAAAGGATCAGACTTTAGTCCAGCCTCCTTAAAATCACAAAATCTCTGACTGGTTTGGGTTGGAAGGGACCTTAAAGCTCATCTCGTTCCACCCCCTGCCCTGGGCAGGGACACTTCCATTGGACCAGGTTGCTCCAACCTGGCCTCGGACACTTCCAGGGATGGGGCAGCCACAAATGTGCCACTACATTTGCTGGGGGATCGAATCTGAATATCAGCTTTTGATTTGTCTGCTCCAAGAATGATGACAGGACAGGTACTGCTTTGAACACACCCACACTTGTGAACTGATGTAACATCCGGGGTTACTGTCCCAGGCCAAGGGAAAATACCTTTTAACATAAAGAAAGAAAGATAGGATCTCCATGCCCAGAATGGGTCTGCTGACAGTTGCCTGAGGAGCATTGTCTTGAAAGAGTTCTAAAAGCTGTAATTTTTCAAGAACTGTAGCAGTTTTCTCTGTGCAATATATATCTGCAGCTGGGAGCTCATATGAGGCTTCATCCCAAAAGCTGTTGTCTTTGAGATGGCAGGATTGATCCTTCAAGGACAGGTAGTTAGAAGAAGGGTTTTTTTTAAGACATTAACTAGCAGCTCTCTCAAAATCCTCTGTACATTTTCCGTGGACTTAATCCAATGGAATTAATTAGAAACTTCTGTTTGCTTAATGGAAATGAGACAAGACATAATTTATAGCCCTGCTGTGGCAGACAGGCTCTGGCTTTCTGTCCAGCACAAATCAAGGAAGGTGACTCTGGTGGTGGAAGAATGGGAATGAAGATGTTCAAGAAAGATGAACAGAGACTTGATAGAGAACTTGCCTTCAAAATGTAAGGCCATGGCTATTAAACCTGGGTCTTTTAATACTCCTTCATAGTGGTTATAAATTTCCTACAATCTTTGCTCCCAAGTAAAGAATTTATCCAAGATCATCATTGCTTTGCCACAGGGGAAGGAAAGGAGATGAAGTGCCCCGCTCCAGAGTAGCTCTCATCAGCCAGCCAGATGGCAAACAAGGTGTCAGAGTTTACAGGAAAGAGTCCAGTGTGGACCATTAATGCCAACACAGCCCAAACACCATTAAAATTGCTAAGGACTCTGAGAGCCAAGGCACAGACAGAGTGTTCTACACAAGGACTTCTACAACCAGAATGAATTATGGAAAACCCTTCCAAAATACATGAAGGAAAAGCTATGGAATGAGTAGACTGGTGTGAGAATTACAGAGAACAAAAGGAACCTTCAATTGCAATACATATGTATATATAATTTAAATATATACACAATAAGTGGTGATTCACTACATTATATTGGGTTTTTTTCACTCATATGAATAATTTTCTATTAAAAAAACAAACAAGGGCTCAGATCCTTGGCTGGTGGTATTCCTGACTCAGGTGCTGTCCTGCACTGAGCTGTGCTAGTCTGGCCACAGAGGAACACTGGGTGATGCTGGATTTAAAGACATATTGTAGAATGATTTGTCTTTATGTGAAGAGAAAAAGGTCTTGTTCTTACTTCTAGGACTAATCTATTATTTCTATATTTCCTCCATTTTTTGGTGCAGCAATCCAAGCCCCATATTTTGCCCCCACCAAATCTAGTATATTCCCCTCTCAGGTGGTTTTCACAACACAGTTTCGTCAGAAGCAGAGTTTGACGTTAAGACATCAAGGCTTTGCAATATCGAGAATTAACAAATGCAGCCTTTCCTTTAGCCATTAGATCTTTAGATGAGACGTGTGAGTCCCTTACAACAGGACAGGGATCAGCAGAAGAGCCACAGCAGGGGTAGAGACACCTACAAAGCACCTGACTTTGGAGGAACACACCACCTGGATGAAAAGCAAGAGGGCTTTCCAGGAGAGGACTTTCCATGCATTAATTGGGAATGCTGTATTTTCTGCAGTGGTAGACAACAGGTATGCAGAACATCCAGAGCTCCCCAAGCATAACTTTATCCATTTTTTAAAAAACAAGGTGTTGTTAGAGAAGTGCTTTGTCAAAGAAGTGTTCTGGACATCTTACAAACACTGTTATGGGGGAAGGACAGTTGTTAAATCAGGAGGTCTAAGATCCCAGTGAACTTCACGTGCTGCCCATGGGCTAATGCTTCTGGTTCAGCTCCCAGTTACTCAGACACCTGCCATCAACTCAGTCCCACTGGCCCCTTTCAATAACGTGTTCTGCAGAAATCAGTTAAGATTTAGAGTAAGTTTCATTGGGAAGCATTGTAAAGTTTCTAGCAATTTGAAATTAAAATATTTGAATGTCATAGAAGTCTTTTCCACCATCACAGGAAATATAGTTGTCCAGAACAATGGTGTTCTAATGATGCAAAATAATTTCATGTTGATTACTAAGCAAGAAGCACAGGAAAAAAACCTTTTTTTTTCCCGAAGGAGTGAGTTTGGGTCATCAGAAAGCAACCGGCCCAAAGGAGACGCTGCCTGAGCTCCTGGCCTAGACATGCTTCCCAAAATCCCAAATGTGTTCCCTGTCTACAAGAAGAGAACTAGGAACACTCATCTGCTAACTGTGCTGGGAGGAAGATGCTACTCTTGCTCTCTGATGTCTCATGGGTAGCTGATAATGCAAATTGATGGTGATTCATAAAGACATCTCCTTTCCTGAGAAAACTGGAACTGCAGCTTGCGTAATCCCGAGATTTACTTAATTAAGGAACATCCCAGCTATTTGATCATGGTTCCTGTCTCTTGTCTTCACCTCCCGCTCCCTCCCAGCTTTGCCTTTGATTACAGTGGCCCTGATAAGAAACTTCATTCACAAAGAAAGCAGGGAGTGGGAAGGCAGCACTGAGATGTGGCTGGTGATTTAAAAACTGAAAGGAGGCAGTGGGAATGCCTGGGGGAAGTCGGGTGGGAAGTCAGGATTTTCCTGTTTGCTGCAGGCAAAGTGAGAAGTTGGGGAGGGCTCAGCTGCAGGGTGGGCACTGTGTATCTCAGAGATGCGTGTAGGTGAGGAACATACCTAGAGCTTTAATGCCTCTGTCTGCTTCCAATAAGACCATTATTTTCAGTATTTTGAAGCACTTTTTGCTTGAAATCTCAGAATCACCCAACTTCAGTGTTTTGAAACAAAGATTCTGGAAAAATGATAGAGAAATGGGTAAATATTATGTGATGATAGATCACAGACATTTGACTGGCAGGACAGTGCAGTTGTATCTAACATAATCTACAGGTTTCCTATTTCCTGACCAAGACGGCCTCTGAATCCGGAGGAAGCACACAGGGAAATTGCACAGGGAAGTGTATCACTGCCTTCCAGGTGACCTTGGCACTTTAAATGAGGAAGCAAACATGGAGCCTCAGCCTTCACCGCAGATCTGCGGATTATTTACGATGATCTTGCAGCAGCTCTCAGGCCCAGCCATGAATCAGGAACTCGCTGCACTCACAAACACATTAACAAACAGAGCTTCAAATACCCCTCATTTATCAGCAGGGATGTTTTAAAATTACTTTCCCTGGCAAGATAGGATTTATTGTGAAGAGCGTGTGGGTATTACTCATCCAGCTGGGAAAATGCCGTTTCCAGGGGGTTTCGAGGTGCTGGAACAGGTGGGATGGAGCTAGTGTTGCCTCACACACAGGGCAGGCTGCCGGGGAGAGTTCCCAGCATTAAGCATGGCATTTTTTGGTCAACCAGATATGACCCCTTGAACTATAGCCCAGAGCAATGAAGGGGAGTCATGGCTGAGGGGGTGACATGACTGAGGGAGACGTGTGGCTGAGGGGATGACACGGCTGAGGGGGAGTCATAGCTGAGGGGTGCCATGGCTAAGGAGGTCATGGCTGAGGTGTGCCACGGCTGAGGGGTGCCACGGCTGAGGGGGTGTCGTGGCTGAAGAACTCAGGCAGCACCAGGTTTCAAAAACAAAGGTGACTGAGCCAGTTGCGCTCGAGGTTCAGCGCTGCGAGCAACGCCCGCGGCGGGGCCGGGTACCGGCAGAAACGGGCACGGCGGCTCCGTCCCTACTTCCTCCTCGTCAGCCCTCACGAGCCCAGCCGTTGACCCGCCGCCCCTGAGGCGGACCCGCCGTGGCCGCAAGGCCTTGGGCCGCGGAGGGAGGAGCGACCAGACTCGTTTCCCGGCTGAGCGGGGCCGATTGCGGTCCCAGCGCCGCCTCCTTCCCTCCCTCGCTCCCTCCCTCGCTTCCCGCCCCACGCAGGCGAACGGTCCGAGGCGCAGGCTCTGCGTGTTCCCGCAGCTCCGTGGCCGCGCTTCCCGCTCCGCTCCCGCCGCCCTCCTCCTCCTCCCTCGGCAGCGCCGCGCGTTCCGCGCCCTCCGCTCCCTGTTCCCGGCGGGCCGGGGCTGCCCCTACGAATCGGCTTCTCCCGCGGTCCGCAGGCTCCCAATATGGTCAGCGCCGTCTGCGCCCAGAGGCAGCAGGTAGGGCGGGCGGGCGGCGGCAGGGCCGTGCAGCCGCTCTTTGTTCGCCGCCGGGGAGCGGGCGGGGGCGGCGGCCCGGGCGGGCGCCCCGCGCTGAGGGAGCCGGAGGCGCTGAGGGAGCCGGAGGCGCTGCGGCCCCGCCGCTCTTTGTTGGGTGCTCGGGCCCGTCTCGGGCCGCGGAGTTGCCGCGTGGGCACGGCCTGGAGGCCGCTCGGTCCCTGCGGGGGCAGCGGGGCTGCGGTGTGACCCCGGCCGGCACTCCCCGCGCTCGCCGGGGCTGCGGGGCCAAGGTCAGCGCTGCCTCCCCCAGCGCCACGGCAGGAACGGGGGGCAAGGATCGAGGAAGTCCCGGGCTTTGCAGGAAAGAGGGTTGAAGAACGTGTGCTGACAGCTGCTTGCCAATGTCACGACCCTTCCCGTCATCTATACAGCGATAATACAGCAAAATATGGGCCGTCAGCCCACGTTAGTGCTTCTGGGGAAGGCGGGTGAGGATGAACGGCCAGGGGGTTTGTTGGGTTTTTGTTTGTTTATGGGGGTGGGTGGAAGAAGTAGAGTATTTTCTGCCTGTGTGCACCAATTTCCAGCAGCTTTGTGGAATTTTTCAGAGGCTCTACAAGGTAGAAAATACCTTTGCATTGGCACTCTCACTGTTCCCTCACCCGGGATTCCCACGGACAATGAAACTTGGATTCGTTATGATTTTTATAGAGGATAGAAGAATGTTGACAAAGTGAGAGGCAGAGTTACTCCTAAAGATGAGTGGTGGTGGAGTAATGAAAACACAGCCTCATGTCACTCTATTTATGTAGTTTGTGAAGGGAGGATTTTTTTTTTTCTTGTTTCCAGTGATGGGTGTGTAGACACCATATTTATTCAGTTCTGACAGGGAGCTGCAAAATAAGAAGCCAAGCCAGGATGTGGTGCTTTGATGGTGAGATTGGATTAATTTTAGAAAGCAGATTTTCTAGCCACAGGTCTGACTCCTGAGCACAGGATACAACAGTCAGGGAATACTTTCCAGTTAGGAGACTGCTGTAAATAGATCTGATTTTGTTTTCCTCAGCTTGAGTTCTTAAGGATCAGGAGATGCTAAGAAAGGCAAAAATTACCCAGAATGGGGGGGATGGGAGACCAGAAGGACACACAAACAAACCCCACTAATTTGGTTGTGTGACAGATGTTTGGAGAACTGTGAGAAGTGGGAAGAAGAAACCCAGGAGGAGGGAGGGAGGAGGAAACAGCTCAGATTTTAGTAGAGTGGATGTGAGGCAGAAGGTGAAAAAAGAGATGTAGATAAAGACTATGACAGCAATAAACTTCTATCGTGGGAAAGGAGAGGAAAGGCAGGAGCAGTGTGGAAAGGGGACTAATGAGCAGTGCTGGGACTCGGAGCCGTGGGAGGCCAGTCCTGGAAGCGAGTGCTGAATGGGCAGCTGAGGTGTCAGAGCTGAGGGTTGTCTTTGGAACAGCAGTAACATTCAAGCAGAAAGCCTGCTGCTTATAAATTTTTAAAGTCTGCATGCATAATGTGTGTTTGGAAGAGCTCTCTAGGCTTGCTCTCTATAGAGGACAGTCCAAGTATTGCATCCTCTGGGGTTGCATGTCAGAGATTTCGGAAAATGTCCACAGTACTCCATCCTTCCCCTTCAGTTCTTACTCAGGGATAGCAAATATTCCCTCCCTTCTCCTTACTGCTGGGGTGGGAGCACAACTGAGCTTGATTTGCAGTGAAAAAGAACAATTTTGTCTACAAGTCATAATTATCAGTGAGACTAAATCTTCCATGGAAAACAACTGAGAAGTGAATAAGCAAAACAAATTGTTGTAAATTCTGAGTCTTACCTTAAATCACTGTTGTAAAGAAGCTGAGCTGTTTAGTGGTGTAAAATAGGTTGATACATGTCTTGGTGACGTGGACCAGTACAAACTCAGAGATGAAAAGATTGTGTGTTTTTATCATAAATAAATGCTAATTTCTGAAAGAAATGTTTTGAGGACATCTGGTTTTATCTTCTGATATAGGTAATGGACTGTTGTATACAGTTGAAGGTGTGACCTACATTTCTTCTGAGCTGGGCTGTGACAAGGCAGAAAGCACCCACGGGGGTGTTACATTCCATTTTTGTTTCATTGTCCCAACAAGTGTCAATTGAGTGTCCATCATTATTTCTATAAGTATTGACTTTTAGTCAACAGATGAACAAGTATCTCCCACAAGGTAGTGCTTCACTTGTGAGTTGAAGAGGTAATACCTCAATCTGACAAAAAAGTTTGTGCAAAATTGGCACAGAGCAAGGGCTTTGTTTACGTTTTTAGTGAAATACAGCACATGGAAAGTGGACTGTATTAAAGGTGAGAGGTTAAAGAGATACCCCCTGTGTCGTTGGATCATGGGTAAGGTGACTTTTGCCTCTGGGGCTTTCTCTTGGTACCTCACCAGAGATCACAGGTCCTGCAGGTGCCTCTGCAGGGGAGTCCTAGGGCACAGTAAGGGGTTTGAGATGCTCCAGTAATAATCCTGGGGAAGGTTTTTTAAACACTGGGATGTTTTCTGCAGTGAACAACTGTTTAAATTAAACATTGTGTTGTGCAGATTCCAAATTCTGAACCCAATTAAGAATTTAGAGTGTATTAATTATTACATTTATTTGCTCTTGTAACTGAGCTAATCATATTCCAGCAGCATTTGCAAGATATATAAGAGGATAGTGAAGGATGAGGAGACTTACTATCGTTGTTATTTAGGTGAGTCTTCTTAAATACCCCTTTAAGTACACATCCAGGGAAATGGACAGATGAATTGAAGGAGGAAGTTTCTCCTCTGGCAGGCAGTGTGTGCAGCCAGTTCATCTCCCAGTGCGTTACGAGCCGTGACCCTTTCATGGTCCAGTGGTACACACATGTAGCAAAGGAAAATGTCAGTCTGTGCCCCACATGAAGTGTTCAGGAAACCCAGTTCTGACAGCACGGTTGTGTTACATGCAGCAGCTGGGCAGGCGTTTGAGTGCTGGCATTCCTGTGCTTGGGAACGGCCCTGATGTCGGAGCACACCGCGTGAGCATTGGCCAGCACAGCGTGATCGACCGTCCGTCGATGGATAGTGTCACTACTGTCCACCCTCAGCATTAACTAGAACAGAAATCCAGAGCTCACACATCACTCTCAGTTTTTTTTTTTTGCTTCATTTAAAAAGTAAGTGCAGGGAACTCTCAACTAAGAGTTTTCTCAAGTGGAATGTGTTGTCCCCATTCCGGGATGCCAGTTTTGTAGCTTTAAAGTGTTTAAAGAAGTGCATTTGGGTGGAGCTTGAAAAGTCATCATGAAAAGTCATCAGAGGCACCAGGCTTTCCCTGGCTGGCAGTGATTTGGGAACATCACACTGAGCTTCAAACAAATTCAGAAGCCTGGAAAATTGTGACAAAAAGCCACACACAGTTCTTGCTGTGGTGAGCTAGAAGGGAGTGTAAGCAAGGAGGTGGAGGAGGTAATGACAAAGTGATTAGATTTTTAAAATAATTTTAAGGAAGAAGTTTGTTTGCAGTACCTGTCTATAACCTTTAATGCAGAAAATGCAGCATTCTTGGCTTTTTAGTGAATTTTGGCACCAGCCAAAGTTTGGCTTTTGTTCTAGCAGTAGTGCGCCGAAAAGAATGTGGAAAGTGATGAATCTGCTCATGCTCTTTAATGCTATTTTGAGTAATAATATTAGCCATGACACACAGACCAGCACTGAAACTCTGTGGCAGTAATTAAGACATTTGCAGATACTCAAATTGAACAATACCTTGAAATGCACCAATGTGTATGTGTGGGTTTGACGTCACACACGGAGGACTGTGAGAGACAAATCTTCCATTTTAATCCGGAATTATTTGGGATGATCTGTTTAGGTCTTCAAGGTCACAAGAATAGAGGTGTAACACTTGAAATAAAGTTGATATGGTACAGCAGAATGTGACAAAACATGCCCAGAGATGTAAACTGAGCGAGGCTGGTGCTGGGATTGGGTTGGAATTGTTTGGCTGTCCTGTAACTGGAAATGTTTTGGTTGAGTGAATCTCTGGGGAGTCAGGCTGTTGGGCTTTGTTCTGAGAAGCTCTGAAACCTGCAGTGATTATGCCAGTTGTACCCACATGAGAAGTGTTGACTGCCAAATGCTTAATTAAATAATATTTGGTAAATAGAGCTTGGTTTTGATTTCAGACCTTGCCTGTAGAATTATAAAAAGAATATACCTTTAATCTTTGAGGTTCCTTTGCCTAGAAAAGCAGGCTGACATTAAAGTAGAAGGTTATAGTCCCAGGGTCCTCCTGGCGTTCCAGGGTTCTCCCTTCCAGCTGGCTGGAGCTCTGGAGCAGGTGTTCCTTCCTTGGAGTGGAGGGGTGTGCCTGTTCCAGTAGCCAGCCGTACTGAATGTTGATTCTTCCTGCACGAGGTGTCTGCAGGGCTGCGGGGCTGGGACAGTTTCCCATGGAGTTGGGATCTGGTGGGATAATGCCCCCTGCCGCTCCCGGAACCTGCGTCCCGCTGGAGCTGCTGCTCTGCCCAGGGAGCAGGGAGATCAAGCTCCTGCCAAGGGACACCCGTGCGGCAGCACCAGCATCACAGGCTTCTCTTCCCTTGCAACGAGGCGACTTTTCTAAGGAAACCCGATTCCCAGAGTGGCATTTATTCTGGAGTGACAAATAGAGTTTCGGAGCTGGAGTGC